GGGCACCACCCTGTTTACAGCCCTCGCTCTGGGCCCGGGACCCCGCCCGGAAAGTCTCCCGGGAAAGGGCCCGGGCGTGCGCACCCACCCGCGGCCGGGACGCCGGCCCTGCGTGGGAGGCTCCAGTCGCCGCTCGGAATAAAATCGTCGCCACGGCCCTGGGGTCGAGCCCGCGGGAGTCTCCGCTCTTCCTCTGCCCGCCGCCCACGGCTGCTGCGTGTCAGCCCCCGCCACGACTCCGCTACGCACTTCAACCCCATCTCTCGGCTCCAGCGCTTCCGCAGACCCTCCTCACGTGGCCGCCTCCTTCTCCCGGCCCAGGCGACACGGCCAGGGACCCTTGCGCACTTCGGGACCTGGAGCTGCTCCCACCGAGTGGAACGTCACCTCTCTCGGACCCCCTACCCCACATCCTCCGCCCCGGCAGGGGGGTGGCCACAAGCTGTCAGAAGCTTAGTTTCCCTTACCCTTAAACATCCCCACTCACCCTTCAGCCTAGCTTCGAGCTGAATCAGATATTTAAAACGGAGGGTGCGCGGGAGGGGGGAAGGGAGAGTCTTGACTTTTCTCCCTAATCCAAAACAAAACAACAAAAAAGACGCAGCTCTGCCCATCCACTCGCTGTAAGACTCCCCACGTCGTCCCACCACATGCAAGACTTAGAAAACAGAAATGCCCACCACACACCTGCTACGCAACCTGCCCTCTGGAAACCTGGAGACCCACCCAGCCCACCTTCTGGAACCTGCGCCTGGGGTAGGGTGGGAACGGTGCCATTCGGTTCCTTAAAGTAAAAGGGAGTGAGAGGGGGACACGCACCTCCGGCCCCGCCCGGGAGCGCGGTCCTCCAGCTCCCTAGCTCCAGAACACAGCACGGGCATCCTCCGTCCCTCCTGGCGGAACAGGGGAGGTAGCCAAAGGCCTAGGTGCCAGGGGCTGTTTTTCCTTTAAAACCCAGACGCCGTGCCCTCTATGAGCACCTCCCCTACCCCACCGCCTTATTTCTGGTCGACAGCAAAGGTGGGGTAGGTGGGAGAAAGGAGCGAGTGCTCTCGAGGTTTGGGATGTTACTCTCCGCGGAGTGAAGAGGTGGGATCTCGAAATGGAAACAGTCTCCCCCCCTCTCCCTCCCTCCCCTCCTCCTCCTCCTCCTCCTCTTCTGTTTACCTCAAGTTTGAATTTTATCTGCGCAACATTAGCTGGAATGCGGACATTGAAAAAAAAAATACACACTCTCAACCCGGCAGCAGCTCCGGAGGAGCCATGTGGCATCAAGCCACCTCAAAGGGGAAAAAAGTGCTCTTAGCAACACAAACATGGCGAAATCGCCTCGGCATTCCCGGGTAACGCCACAACCCCTACCTTTCCTCGCCAGGCTCGCGAACATCCCGGCCGGGACCAGCGGCCCCTTCCGGGGGGAGGCGAGAGGCCCCGGGGAGTCCCAGGGTGGGACCGCAGGGCGTGCGAAAGAGGAAATAACAAGAGTCCACAGTGGAAATGTTTCTGCTGGACCATCGAGCCCTCCGCCTCGCCAGCAGGGAGGGGACGCCTCGTTCACCTCGAGAGGTCCAAACGGAGTACAAAATTCCCATCCCAAAGTCCTGCTGGGGCGGCTTTCCCCACCCTCCAGAACTTACCTTGGGGCTGAACACAAGCTGCTGCTTAAATCCCTTTCTCTTCCTCCAGAGCGAGACGCAAGGGGGAAAATGATGCGCATGTATATTTGTAGAGCATTTCTTCTAGAATTTCCCTTTGATCATCACGAGGAGCGATGGAGGCTTCGGAGACAGGTGCAGGGCTGGCCGAGGCTGCCGGCTAAAAGTTGTTCTCTCGGCAGTGGGCGGCGGGGTCCCCCGGCTGGGGCTGGGGACCCGGTCTCCCTTCCCCCCGGCGTCGCCCACTTCCCGCGGGCTGCTGCTGCGTGCGGCTCGGCTGCAGGGGAGGTGGCGTAGTTTCTCTTCCTCCCACCTCTTCTCACTCTCTTGTTTTTGTAGCCGTGGGCTCCCCTAATGCTTTCCTCTCCACAATGTTGTTTCATTATATCATGTCCATCATGTGACACCGGAGAGGCCTCTCTATGGAAACTTAAAGGGGCTCCCACGTGACTGCAGCAGCAACAACAGCAGCGGCAGGACTGGCGGCGGCGGCCGCAGCGTTCGTACCACCACCCACCGAGAGCCCCTCGCAGCATCCCGGAGGGGCTTCTGGCGCTGCAGAAGCCCAGATAAGGGAGCCACAGCATCCGGGAGATGTGGCGTCTGTGCGTGCGTGTAGCCTTTGCTCATGACATAGAAAAGCGAACAGAAGGAGCGTCCTTAAATCCTTTCCTACAGTCACAAAACCCACGCTCTGTTAAAATGACATTTCGTGGCTCCTACTTTATTTTCCCCAAGAGCAATGAGTTTTCTATCAGGTCTGATTAAATTTTACCAAGGCAAAAAGAAAAGCTGGATTTATCCCTCTGCGAGTTCAGCCAGCTCTTGGGTAGATCAGAAATGACAAAACAATAATAACAGAAATAGAATCAGGCATTTGATACATAATTACCATCACACCAGCTTTAAAGCTTTTCTGGAATTACATTCCTCCGGTAACTGTGTTGATGATGCTTGCAGGAGGCAAATGCAATGCAGTTTTTCTCTTCCGCAGCTATATTAGGGCTTTGTTGCTGACAACAGTAAAAACTTGTTTGTGTCAGGAAGTGAGGTACGAAGATATGACCTGGAAGGTACAGACAAAACCAAAGTGGCAGTTTTTGCATTACTTTTCTGACCACATTCTTTCAAATGGTAAGAAGCAGCTGATCTGCTGTAAAATGCATAGTCTGTGTTTGATGGGAAATCAAATAATCAGAAAAACACATTTTCCCCTTAATCACAGTGTACGTGCTAGACACTAGAAATTACATATAGATTTACATATATATGTATACGTTGTGCATGAAAAGTGAAAAGTGTGTGCCTTTTTATATTTTGAACCATTAATTGTGCCATCATTTCTAGCATTTCACTGAAGCATTTAACAAACACTTTGAAAGACTCAGTCAAGTCTAGTGATGTGTGGAAACTGTAACATCAGTTTTGAGTGGTGTTATTGAATCCCACCCCCCCAAACCCAAATCTCTGCCTTAAAGTTTGTGTGGACCATGGAATTTATCCTGTAAATCTAAGCTAAACGTTCTATGTCTTAGTTCATGTTTTTCTATTTATAAAGAGAACTCCCTGTTGGATTGGCTGAATTATGAAAAACTTCACAGGAAGCTGAAGAGTGGGACGGAAGATCATCCTTTCTTTTGGCTTTGCCTTGGCTGTATCTCTTTCCACCTCATCAGTTTCCCTCATCAGCCATGATGCATGATCGCCACTACATCCCTTTTGATTCTTTAATATGTCCCCCAATATTTACCTTCCCATCTAACACGTAATTCTTCCATTCCTTTCCCCCTTTCTGTCCTTGCCTCCCAATTCTTAGCTCAGGCCTCCCCAAATACTCCCTCCCACTCCACCTTCCCCTCCTCCCCTTCCCAGCTCGGTCTCCGTCTCAGCAACTCAACCTCCTTACCTCTCTTTGACCTCCTTTATTCTCCTTCACAGTCTGGCCCTCGACTTCTCGGCCTCTTCTTCCCCTTCTTTACCTGCAGTGTCCTGCCTCAACTGGGGTCTCCTCCAACACCCTTGTCTCTGGTCCCATCCCTTCTGACGCCAGACCCCAGCATTCCTCCAGGGCTCGGCCTGGTCGGCTTTAACCTGATTTTGTTCCGGTGCCCCTGGGCTGGGAAAGGAGTGTGTGGTGCAAAGTGGGGGCAAGAATCCCCCTCGACAGTGGCCCCTGCTTGGTTCTCCCTCCGCCCCTCCCGAGCCCCGGTTGCGGCGCTTCCTGGGCGGATGATTGGGACTTGCTGCAGCAGCTGCGGTTCTGCTGTGTCATGCAAGAAGGAGGCGGCGGCGGCGGCCGGAGCTGGAGGGGGAGGAGGGGAGGAACCTGATCTCTCCGGTAGCGAAGGGCTGGAGGCAAACACCGAGTTACCCCAGAGCCGCCCGGGAGCAGGGAGGGCTCCGCTACCCCGGGGGCCCTCCCCGCGGGGCAGATGGTAAGTGGGGCGGCGCAGGTGGTCGCCTTGGGAAGGGAGCGCGCAGGGGGTTTAGGTGGGGAGGCGGGGAGAACTAGGAATCACCTCGGCCAAACTGAAGGAGCCCAGTGTCCAGCTGAAAGGGACACAGGCCATAACAAGGATGACCAGCGGCAATAATTACCATTCGAATAACGACCCGCAGTTGACCCAGGCTACACACAGGAGATGTGCATCCTGAACCCAGGACGGAGCTAGAAGCAATGATTCAGGGTTTGAGAACCATCAGCCCTGGAGACTTAAGGATACCGCTGAATAGCGAGAGTCAACATACACCACAGTCCTAGAGCCTAGGTGCGCTTTCTGGGTTGTCTTGTTTAAAACTAGGGAAGGGGATGGAAACCTGCCCGATCTCACTTTAGCCACGAAAATAATGCTCTTGGTCAGTGGCCTCGGACAAACAGCCTCTGGTGCAATTAAACAATCAATAGGGAAAATAGCTTCACCACCCTCCTTCCCCAAGCTCTTTCAACCAGGGTAATTTATTCTTCTTAAAGGAGAAAGAAAATTATGCCTTAGGGTCCCTCCCACCCTACCTTCTGTCAGCCTCCACTCTACACAAAACTGCCCACCCCACCATTCACCCCACTTTGAGACTGTATCTTATGTTGGATGAAGGGGACTGCCTTAAACCCTGAACAATTTCACCTCTGCTGCCCTTTACCCAGAGGGAATTCAGAAACAGAACTGAGAGCCATGAACATAGAGACAGGCTGGGCACATAGGAACATTACTTCTTTTACCTGAGTGCAATTCCCGGGACAATTTCTTAAAAAATTATTCTTCTTCTCCATTTCACTCCTGGAAATTTCAAAGCACTTTCTGCAACATTTTTTTTTTAATGTCTGTCGTACATTAGCAGTAAGGGGTTGGCGGGATTAACTGAAAGGCTAATGACTGTCTCAAAAGCACATGCTGTTGCTAGGGAACTCAAGCTCATCCTGCTCTCTAATCACTAGCATGTTATGTGGAAATCAAACTTCTCAGGGTGTTATTAAAATGAATGGCATTTGGTTAAAGGCGTTCTTGCTTGTGTTGTAGCATCCTGGATTATTATCGATTGCCTCACACCCACATATCTTGTTTTCCTAATTTGATTTCTGTATGTGCGTCACAGCCAGGGACATGCAGACTAGACCAGTCAGGTTCACTTCCTGTTTCTCCGAACTGGTTTATATTTGGTCTCGTAGCTCTAGCTGGTAAAACATTATCAAACTGATCCTCTTGGAAAGAAATCTGTGCTTTCCGTGAAAACAAATTATCCCAATTAAATTCTAATTCCCATGGAAAACGTCATCATTTGAGGAACAGAATAGACTGCCAGTTGCCATTTGAGAAACCCATTCTTGAAATGTAAAGCCTAGAAAAACGCATCATCTTTATTTCTTTTACCCAGAATCTTCATTCCTCAGCATTAGAACTAAAACAAACTCAAGTTGAGAGATGATTTAAGTCTGATATTTCTAAAATATCACTCAAAAAATACACAGTGAAGCTGGGGAAATCATTTAGACTAAATAAGGCATAGAATTAAATGGAATCCAGGCCTCAGGAGCACAAGTAAACTTGGGTGAGCACTGGAGCACTCAGAGAAAATAATATGATTACAAGGCTACACTACAAATAGGAGCCTACCTCTTTGTACTAATTGTCTCTTTTACCAATTCTCCTTTGTCCCTGGATAAGACAGCTTTGCTTTTTTTTTCTTTCAGTTCTTTCCTCTTTATAACAAGGATATCACAATATCAGTATCATAAAGATAAGCTCTATGTAAATAGATAGGTTCTGATGTAGATAATTTGCATAGATGGAAATTAATAGGGTACATAAGGCATTAAGGAAAGATCAGCTGACTAAAAGCTAGGAAATGCTATAGACTGGATGTCTTTGGATGTCTGTTTTCTCGTGGAAGCTTAACAAAAGTGCTGGGCTGAAGAATCTGTAAGATTCCTTCCATTTACAAAATTCTGTGATTATATTGAACTCACTACATAAAAATTTTAATTTTAGCTGAATTTTGCAATGATAAATTTTGACACTGAAACTTTAATACCTATCCATAGAGACCTTGGAGGAAATGATAATGGGAAATGATTTGCTGTTGCTACATCACTTTTTAGTGTCAGTTCCCAGACAATCAAATAAAATCGACCAGAATCCCAGTGTATTGACTCTCTGCTTGCTTGGTGGTGTTGTAGAAGCAACAGGATAAGAGGTAGAAAGGATATAAAAGTGTGTCGAAAGATCTTTCAGTCATTTTGGATTTAGTTAAGCCGAAGTACTTTGATGAGCAAATCGATGAAATGTTGAGGAAGGGCTATTCAAGAAATAAATGATCAACTGAATCTTCATAGAGTTAATCATCTATTTGCCTATATTTTAATTAGTGATAGGCAAAAATATAGGCACAGATTTTTGAAATTTTCAGATTCAAGATGTTAAGAAGTAACATGAAGCTATGTGAGATTTGTGCCAAAGAGAAAAGTTCTGACTTTGAAACCCAACTCTTCCACTTTATTTATTCATTATTGAGTGCCTGCTATGTGTCAGGTTCTGTGCTAGCAACTGGGAGTACAAAGATGAATAAGACAGTCTTCTCGGAAGGGCCTCATGGTTTAATGAAGATAGAGGAGTACACAGTTGATCACAGAACAGTGAGGTGTTGTCAACAGGGGAACACATTGGAAGGGTACTTAACTTTACTGGGCATAATCATGGTCCCTAATTATAGAAGACGAATTCAGAGAGGAGTTCTGAATAAAAAGAGAAGGAATCCAGACAAGTGGGCAAGTTAAAGAGAAATGTAGTCCAGGCAAAGAAAGTACTGTGTGTAAAGTCCTAGAGGTAAAAAGGTGCCCCCAGAGAGTTGAAGGTGAAGGACAGTCCCAGCAAGTTGTAGATTCTGTCTTGTATGAATGCATGGCAGAACCCAGAAAGATCAGCAGGTCTTGTATTATGAAAAGTATTGTATGTCTTTCTAAGAAGTTTCACCTTATCCTAAGTCCAGTCGAGAACCGGTGATTAATTTTAAGGAGCATAGTGAGGTGACCAAATATCCATTGCATGAAGATCACTCCAGTTTGGAGAATTTATTAGTGTGAGCAAGCAGAGAGACTAGTTTGGAGGTTGTTTTAGCATTATAGGAAAGAAATGATGGACATCTAAGCTAAGGCAACAAGAAGGGAAATGGAGGGAGGAGGAGGATTCAAGAAATATTAAGGACATAGAACCAACTGAATTTTATTATTCATTGTATCTGCAGGATGAAGGAATAGGTGGAGATTTATGGCTCAGGTAAATGAGAAGATAGTGGTATCATTCACCAAGGTGGGGACTTCAGGAGCAAATATAAATTCAGGAGGGAAGGTGATTAGTTTAATTTGAAACACATTGAGTTTGAAGTGTCCATGGGATATCAAAGTGAAACTATCTACTACATAAAAGAATGGGGGAGTCTAGAACTCAAGAGAGAGAGATCTATGCTGGAATCATCAGAATAAGTGACAGTCCACAGAAGTAGATGAAATTCCCAAGAGAAAAAATAAAGTAGGAAGAGAAAAGGACCTACTCTGGAACCCTATGAAAATGACAACATTTAAAAGGTGAGGAAAAAAAGATACAGGAAAGAACGTCCAGAAAGGTAGGAGGACCAGGAACAAGTAGTTTCAGAGAAGTCAAGGGAGAAACTGTCAACAGTATTAAATGCTAGAGAAAGATCAAGAAAAATAGACTGAAAGTCCTTGGTTTTAGCAACAAGGAGGTCAATGTAGTGTTTTGGCAAGTTTATTGGGATAATGGGGATAGTAATCAGATTGCGGTGGATTGAGGAGTGGATAGGAATAGAGGTGGTAGCTAGGGGAAATTTTTTTTTTTTTGATAAGAAGGACTAAAGGCCAAGTAGGGAAGGAAAAATAAAAGTATTGGGAAGAGAAAATCATGGTCTTTGAAGTTAAGGATGCATAGGGAAAGAAGGAAATTATATATAATACAAAATTCTAGATTCTTTCCGCCTTCTTCAAATTGAGTGGCATTACTACCCAACAGATG